TCACAGTCTGATGGGGAGAAAACATGCAAATGCTTCTCTACAAATAAGCCACAGGACAGATTGGAGATAATCAGCAGAGCAAATCACTGGCATTGAAGGGGTATAGGGTTTGGGCACTGAATTTGCCCCCCCTCCCCGTGTGTCTACTCCTCTGCCCACAGACTGGAGAGTTTGAAGGAGGATGAGCGTCTGCGCTGCATGGAGCTGGAGAGAGAGGTGGCCGAGCTCCAGCAGCGGAACCAGGCACTAACCAGCCTGGCCCAGGAGGCCCAGACCCTAAAGGATGAGATGGATGAGCTCAGGTAAGTAGCACCAACTCAGGGGCCCAATCCTAAACCAGGTGGATTCCCATTTCCCACACATCTGACTTCTCCTGACTGGGAGTAGCCCCTGAAAACCAACAACCAGGGCTGGACCCTAACTTTCCCTGAGCCCCCGGCCCCTGGGGCTCCAAGCTGAACCATGGCCCATAGGCAATCATCAGAACGAGCGAGCCGGCTGGAGGCCACACTGAGTGGGTGCCAGCGTCGCCTCGGGGAGCTGGGGGAGCTTCGGCGGCAGGTGCGACTGCTGGAGGAACGAAATGCAGGCCACGCAGAGCGGACGAGGCAGCTAGAGGATGAGCTGCGGCGGGCAGGGACCCTCAGAGCCCAGCTCGAGGGCCATCGGAGACAGGTTGGGACTAGAGCTGGTTTGAGGGATCAGGTTGTGTCTGGGGCCTGGGCCCAGCTCATTCATTTTCCCCCTTATTCCTGCTGTCCCACACCCCTTCCAGGTACAAGAATTACAGAGCCAGCGACAGGAGGAGGCCTTGAAGGCTGAGAAATGGCTGTTTGAGTGCCGGACACTGGAAGAGAAATATGAGGCTGTGGTCAAAGAGAAAGAGGTGGGTGACCCTCCAGTGGGCTTGAGCCCAGGGACATTTCCCAAGCTGGGAAACAAAGGATGCCCTAGATTTGGAGTCAAGAAACCTGGTGTAGAATGCTAGCCCTGCCACTCACTGCCTGTGTTGGCCTTGGGTGCCTTGTCCCTTTTCTGAGCCTCGGTTTGATCATCAGAGATCTCTCCCAACTTTGTAATACCCTTCAGTGTTTTCAGTGGGTGGGGCCAAACCCTAGAACTGACCCTGGTTCCTTGTCCCTCCCCCTCCCTCCCCTACCCCTCTTCCAGCGGCTGATTGAGGAGCGAGACTCTCTTCGGGAGGCACATGAGGAGCTGTGTTGTGTCCAGGTGCAGCAGCGGGGGCTCAGCCAGGCAGGTGAGTGGTCCCCGGCGTGTTGTCGGGCTAGGGTGCTTGGGGCTGATGGAGTACTTGCTTGACCTTGTCCCTATCTCCTCAGATGTCCAACTGCAGCAAATGTCATCACCTGTGGAGAATCTGGCAGCCGAGATCCTTCCAGCTGAGCTCAGGTTCCTTTCCCCATACCAGTCTTTGTGATAACTCCCCCTTTGGCCTCTGGCAGCTGGGACCTTGGTCCTTAGGCCATTCACAGCCTTATGTCTCTTCTGCGTTCCCTTCTGTTTCAGCCCAACACCACCAGACTCCTTCCCATCCAAATCTTCCCCCTCTCACAAGCTCCTGGCCTTCCCTCACTGTCCCAAGCCCCAGGGATCTCTTCCTGCCTTCGATGGGGGTGGGCTGAAAGACAGGACCGCATCTGACTACCCTTTGGGGCCTGGCCCAACAGGGAAACAATCCTTCGCCTGCAGCGGGAAAACAGACGTCTGTGCCAGCAGGAGGCAGCTGACCGCGGCCGCACTGAGGAGCTGCAGGGGCAGCTGGAGGAGGCCAACCGCACTAGGCACAGCCTGGAGACCCAGCACAGGTGGGGGTGCTGAGACTGAAGACCCAGCAAGGTGAGGCCTAGCCAGGGCTGGGACACCCTGAGTCCTGTGTCTCCTCACCCCCAGGCTGAATCAGCAGCAGTTGGCAGAGCTTCGGGCACAAGTAGAAGAGTTACAGAAGGCATTACAGGAACAGGGGGGCAAAGCTGAGGATGTGAGTGGTGTGGGCCCTGGCCCCACTTCTGCACAGCCCTACCTGAGACCCGTCAGCCCCCGTTCACGAGGCGGGAGGGGAGGTGGGGGGGGGTATCCCCAGGCTGCCCTCCCCTGATCCCTCGCCTCTCCTCTAATCTTCCTTTCTCTCCCCCTGCTGCCTGTCGGCTCTCTAGGCTATTGTAAGTAGGAGGTGGGGGGTAGAGGGGTTGTGGTGCTGGGCAGAGAAGACAGAGTGAGTGCCCAGCCTCACCCCTGCTCCTTGTCTGTCCTCAGTCTTCGCTACTGAAGAGGAAGCTGGAGGAGCACCTGTAAGTCCCAGGGCCAGGGTTTGGTGGGCTTGAAGGGACCAGCCAAGGGGAGGGGCCCCTGGTGGCCATTACCATGGGGTGGAAGTAGAACAGGGAGATGGGAGAGATGATGCCGGGGAGAAGATTGGAGGGATGCCAAGCAAGAGAGCCGGATCCGGAGCTCAGGAGAGAGGTTCGGGTTGGAGAGCTGGCTCTGGTAGGTGGATAGGCAGCAAGGTGGTGTAGGGGATAGAGCGCTGGACCTGGAGTCAGGAAGATCTGAGTTCAGATCTGGTCTGGGACACTTAGTGGTTGTGTGACCTTGGGCAAGTTATTTGATTTCTATTTGCCTCAGTTTCCCCCATTGTAAAATGGGGATCACAATAGCACCTATCTCTCCAGGTTGTTAAAAGGTTCAAATGAGATGATATTTGTAAAATTCTTGGCATAATGTTTGACATATGACATACACTATATAAATGCCATCGTTGATGGTGGCTGTCTTCAGAGGCTAGCCAGGCTCAGGTGGAGAGAGTGAGAGACCAAAAAGGCTGCTGGTAGGGCAAGGACCATTGTCCTGGTGGGGCCAGGCACGATACCTCGGGTGTGTGGCTAGGGAGAAGCTGCACGAGGCACACTCCGAACTGCAGAGAAAACGGGAGTACATTGATGAGTTGCAGCCGCCAGCCGACAACAGCAGTAAGATGCCCTCTGGGGGGTGGGGGGAATGGCATGGGGTGGGTGGCACGGCGGAGCCCTGAGCTCCTGGGTTCCTGCAGCAGCGAGGCGCATTGAGGAGCTACAGAGGAGCCTGCAGAAGAAGGAGGCCGACATGCGAGCCATGGAGGAGCGTTACCGGCGGTACATGGAGAAGGCTCGGACGGTGAGGATCCCGGGCCTGCCGAGGCCTGACCCCAAGCCCACTTACAATCACAGGCCCAGAGCTGGAAGTGCCCTTAGCCCATCACCCTTAGTTTATAAAGGAAGAAATCAAGGGCCAGAGGGGGAAGTGATGTGCCCTGGCAGAGCCAGAGTTCAAGCCCAAGACTTAAAATGCAGAGATCTGAGTTCTCATGGCACTGCCCTGCCTCTCCCCCAAGTCTGTCCCACCTAGGCTGGGCTCCCTGGGACTGCCCACAGTGTCTTTTCTCACCCTCCCTCCTAAGGTCATCCAGACACTGGAACCCAAGCAGCGGCCGTCAGGGCCTCCTCCCCTGGAGATTCAAGCCCTGAGAACCCAACTCCAGGAGAAGGACCTAAGGATCCGACACCTTGAGGTGATTTTCTTGCTGGACCTGGCTGACATTTCCCTCCTCTCCTGGGGTGGGGGGTTGGGGGGTTGGTGCTTGAGCATGAGGATGCGAGGCCTTGACATTTCCCAACCAAACCTCTCCCTCAGACTGACTTTGAGAAGAGCCGGAGTCAGCGGGAGCAGGAGGAAAAGCTGATCATCAGCGCCTGGTACAACATGGTAAGTAGGCGCCCATTCCATCCATGCCCTGCTTCTTCCTCTCCTCTCCCCAGAGCTCCCATCTCTGGACCTCCTTCCTCAGGTGACCCCTGATTTCTCTTCTTTCTATGCTCCCCTTTCCCCCAGGGTATGGCCTTGCAGCAACGAGCTGCAGGGGAAGATCGACAGCCAGGCCCAGCTTATGCCCAGTCCTTCCTGGCTCAGCAGCGACTAGCCACCAACACACGCCGGGGACCCTTGGCTCGAGCCCAGGCTGGCTCTAGCCGATCTGGAGACAAGCACTGACTGCCGAACCCTCGCTACTCCATTCTTCTGGGCAGCATAGGGTTAAACCTGGGCTGTTCCCTTCTCCATGCACACACTACAAGGAGTTGCCCTAATTGCACATGCCCATCTCCAGGGCAAGGGAACTCTAGCCCTGACCTCTGATCTCTGACCTCAACCCTTTTCCTTAACCCAAGTTTTGTTTTTTTAAGATATTTTCCTAAGGGTCCCTCCCATTTTTAACCTCTGGTTCTCAGGGCAAAGAGGAGTTGGATTTCTGTGTTTCCAGTACTGCCAGGCTGGGCCCCACCTTCTCTTTTTAAAAATGTGATTTGGGAGGGGGATAAATCTTCTAAGTCTGAGATGAGGAATTAAATAAAGCATTCGATTCTAAATCCACCAGACCGGCTTCTTCCATGTGTTAGTCAACTTGCAGTGAAGGGAGGCATTCCTGGGCTCCCAGGGCAGGTTCCAATAAGCTCATTCCCCCCTGAGGTGGAAGCAGCTGCGGGGAGAGGAAGAGGGAGACCTCCAGGGTTGGAGTTAGGGTATAGATTAGAGTCCTACGTCCTTAGGATCCTAGGACTCAGAGGTGTCAAGAACTTCACTGATAAAGAAACACTCTGAGGCTGAAGTGACTTGACTTAGGGCACAAAGGTTTTCAGTAGCATAGCTAGGATTCAGGGCCCAGGTGCTGCCTCTGGGTCCTGAGAGGGGGAGTTTTCAGGCATTGCCCTGAGACATGGGGTAGGGGCTTGAGGGGTGGCTCTTATAGGTATGACCATTAGTGGCATAATTTTCATCCTGCTCTAGATGGTATCTCCTGGGCTGTAGTAGCTGCACTTTAGTAATGTATGTGTTGGGGTAGGGGTGGGGTGACCGTGCAAGTGTCTTGGTCCAATAGTCCCATCTCTCCAGTGGCTGGCCATCCATATGGCCAGCGCTTAGCCTGCTGGTCAGTCAGTGAGCAACAAGGCTCAGGCCAAGCTCTCCTCCTCTTCTCCAATTGGGCTAGGCAGCCAGGGAGGCAATGGCGCAGGATTAGGGGTTGAGCCTCGGGCTGTGGGTACCACTACCACAGAGGGAGGGGGCTCCACAGCGGAAGAAGCAGGAGCAGCAGGGGGGGCCGGCTCCGTGTCAGAGGGTGGGTCCAGGAGGGGACCTGTGGCTGAGTCATCTCGGCCACAGTCTGGACAAGGACAGCCGGCTGTGGTTGAAGCCTCAGAAACACAGCTATTCTTCCTTCGAAGTAAGGACAGTCTTCGGCCAAGACCTGGGCCAGAGCCACCTGCCAGTAGTCGGTGCAAGAAGTCTCCTGGTACCGAGGGACCTTCCCCCAGTTGCCCCTCCATGCCCTCCAGTCGCTGAAACTGCATGTCCTCTTTAGCCAGCCTACAAGGACCAGGGGATGGGGTAAATGGTGACCAACAGATGTCTCACAATAGCTCATATCATCTCTGGCTGCTTTCTCCCCATCCAGATCTTCCACCACCCAAATCCTTTGATCTTATCCTTAAGCGTAGCCCCCCCCCCAATTTCCCCATGAAGAATCTCAGAACTGGAAGAAACTTGGGAGTCACCTACTCCATTTCTCTCATCTTCCGTGTGGGGAACTAAGACATAGAAAGGGGTAGGGAATTGTTCAAGATGGCTCAGGCAATAGGAACAGCCAGAACTGGAATTTGGATGTCCTGATTCCCAGTATACGCCCCACCTACCCCCACCCCAGCTCACGTAATGTCAAAGGTGGAACCCTGGAAGGAGGGCTGGTGCATCATGAAAGCAGTGGCTGCTGTGTAGGGGGCCCGGGCATCTGCAGCATCCCAGTACAAATCCTTCTCCAACAGTGGCAAGTCATCATACATCTCATCCACTGCCAGCATTGACACCTGGAGCGGGAGTAACAGGATGTGGCTACAGGGTCAGGGAGGGGGCCATTGAGGAAGAGGATTTTCTAGAAGGGATGGTCAAAGCTGTCCTGGGAGAAAGGAGGAGTTAAGGAGAACCTTGATGAAGAGGCTATCAGATAGAAGAGATGAGTGACTCTTAGGGAATTCATTTTGGAGAGGGAATAGGGCCTCACCTGGAAATTCCTGTCAATCAAAAAGTTGGTCTCAAAGTCATCATCGTCCTCCCCAAAGGGGTTTATGAGCTGCTCAGCCACCTATGGAGTGAAGGGTGGGCACTGGAAATGAGGACTCTTCCACAGAGGGATCTGTCCAGTGCCCCTGGATTCCTGTGTTTTGTCCTGATGCCTTCCCTCCCACTCCCACCCCCAGCCAATTCCCTGAGGCCTTGGTCCCTCCCAAGCCTTTCCCTGTATTCTCTGCCTTGTAGGTTTTACCTTGAGCCAGCCAACGTAGAAGAAGAATTGAAGCAGGGTGAAGACAGGAATGCACAGGTCCATGTTATGATTCTTGTATCCCTTGGCTGGGTCCAGGAACTGGCGCCCAATAAGACAAGCCAGGAAGAAGCTATATACTGCGATTGTCACCACCTAGAGGAAGGGTCACGACGGTGGATGATCTCAGGTCAATGAGGCGGGTGGGGGGGGAGGGAGCACTGCTAACCCTTGGAAGAGTCTTCCCATGGCTCTTATTCCTCCCCTCCAACTCTATTCTTACTCCCCAGTCCTTGAGAGCCTGGTCAACATCACAATAAGTAGGAAGAGAAACTGAGTCACAATGGGTACCTGAGTGTAGACAAGGGGCACACTGATCCAGTCATAATGAAACAGCATCCCACATTTGGCCCGGAACTGATCCAGTTTCTGTGATAGAGGGCATGGGGTCAGGGAGCAGCAAGGGGGATCCCTTAAGGAGCCATGTCTAGAAAAACCTAGAGTTAATGATGGGGATAGGGGTGGGCAAAGTGTCCCTTGGGTGAGTGGCAATGCCTCTCTCCCAGAATGGGGTGGGGGGATGTGTGGCCCAGTTCTTAGTCCCTGCTGCCCCTACCTCCATAAGCAGCTTGAAAGTGCTGCTATCTCGGATCCGACCCTCTTTGCGGGCTTGGGCAGCAAGGTTGGCGAACCAGATACACGGTATCCAATATTTGTTGTAGGATGAATTCAGGCTCTCATATTTTTTCCGCTCCTCACGGGTCATAAACCCTGGAAGACCAGAAAGTCACCTCCATGCCAGGCTGCTAGGTTCCCCATCCCCCTCTTCCTCTTCTGCAAAATGGGGAGAACACCCCTCCCCCAGGGTCAAGGCCCCAGTGTCCCTAGAAAGAAGCTCACCAGCCTCTACCACATGGTCCATGGTGGGGAAGCGTTTGAAGACAGCAGTGCTGACAGAGCGAAGGATGAGCACGGCGGACAGGACTGCATACCGCATGAGTGTGCGCCGGTAGAGGCGGCCCCGCTCATCCCGGCCATGTACCGAGCCAGATATTGCACACATGAGGGCGTCGGGCAGAGGCATACACGTGTATTGGCTCCACCATCGATTCACCACCAGTGTGACATAAAACCCTGTGTAGGTGGAAAGAATGAGGTTAAAGTTCAACCGGGTCACAGTTGGGAGTGGGTTATAAGGGTATGAAGTCAAAGCTACCAGGGACAGGAGAGAAATACGATATGGGGGGCAGGGGGGGGAGCCAGCTATTTCAAAGATTCAAGGTCTGTACAGAGCAGAGGTTGGACTCTTGAGGTATCCAGGAGCATTCTCAAAAGATGCCATCCCACCCTGCTTTCCTAGACCAGCCCCTTACTCTAGCCTCACTTTAAAATTGTGACCCTCTCTCTACCCTTGAGTCCTTTGCTCCCTTGTTCTATGGTCACATGTTCCTTTCCAAACCCCCACCCTAGATTACTCCCACCATCCATTCCGAGGGCGTTCTGTAATCTCAGTTGGGTCCTTTCACTCTTCTCTGATGCACTCTATTCTTCCCTAACAACTCTCTCTTCAAGTCACCTGCCCTACCACCACTCCCTCTTGCTGCCTCTCCCTGCCTCATACTTCCCTGAAAAAACTGTGTTTCTCCATCCAAGCTCTGCACTTCGAGTCACCCGCGTGCGTTTACAACTCTCTCTTCCTTTGTTCCAGTCTCAAAGGACGAGGTGGACCTTTTCCTTACAAAGAACAAAGCCTCTCCTTGTATCCTTAATCCTATCCACTCCCATCTATCGCAGGGAGTTTGTCTTTTCAATCAGCACCTCTCCCTAATTTTCAGTCTCTTTATCCATTGCTTGCTCTGCAGCCTAGAAACATGCCCGGCTCTCTCCTATCTTAAAAACCAAACCAAACCCCAAAACCTTCACTTGATCCTACCATTCTTTCAGGCTAAAGTCCTATCTCTCTCCTCCCTTTCACAACCTCCACTTTCTCTCTTCTCACTCTATTAACCCTTTACAATCTACCTCATTGCTCTCTTCAAAGTTACCAAGGATCTTGTTAATTGCCAAATCCAATGTTTTTTTTTTCAATCCTCAACCTCTCTGCAGCCTTTGACACTGATGATTACTCTCTCCTCTTCGACATTCTCTAGGTTTTCAGGACACCCCCCCTTTCCTATTTCTCCACCTACCTATCTGACCAATCATTCTCAATCTCCCTTGCTGGATTCTCAACCAGATCATGTCTTCTCACCCTAAATGTTCAACAGGGTTCTGCCTGGGCCCTCTGTCTACACCTGGTGATCTCATCGACTTGAATGGATTTAATTATCATCTTTGTGCTGATGATTCTCAAATCTACCTTTTCTGTCCCAATCTCTCTGCTGACCTTCAATCTCCCATCTCCAACTGTCTTTCAGACATTTTGAAATAGACATCCAGTAGCATCTTAAACTCAATATGTCCGAAATGGAACTCATTACCTTTCCCCTTGGGCCCCCACTCCTTGACCTTCCCTATTACTGTTGACAGCAACACCATCTTCCCAGCCCCCTAGGCTTGAAATCGAGGTGTCACCCTTGATTCCTGTCTCTCCTATTTCACCCTATCTCCTTCTCTCTTCTGATACTGCCCCCACTCTGGTGAAAGCCCTCATCCTCTCACATGTGGACTATTGCACAAGCTTGCAGATGGGTCTGCCACACTCAAGTCTTTCCCCCCTCCAGTCCATCCTCCACTCAGCTTCCCAAATCTCGGGTCTGACCTTGTCACCGTTCTATTCAATAAACTCCAGTGGTTGACTCCCTAATACCTCCAGGATCAAATATAAAGTACTCAGTTTGACATCCAAAGCCTTTCATAAGCTACCCCCCTCCAACCTTTCCAATTTTCTTACACCTCCCTGCCTATCATATATTCTTCTATCCAGCGACACTGGCCTCCTGGTAGTTCAACAAATGAGACTCCAAGCATTTTCTCTTCCTGCCCCCCATACCTGGAATACTCTCCCTAACCTCCAGGCTTCCTTTAAGTCCCAACTAAAATCCTACCTTTTGCAGAAAGCCTTCCCTAACTTCCCAATTCCAGGGCCTTCCCTCTCAATTATTTATCCTATATGGCTTGTTTGTACGTATTTGACTGCTTGTTGTCTCCCCCATTAGATTGTGGGTTCCTTGAGGGCAAGAACTGTCTTTTGCCACTTTTTATATTCCTGGTTGTTAGAATAGTGTCTGACACACAGTAAACTTTTAATTAATGTTTATTGACTGACAGCCAAGCACCTAGAAAAAAAAAAGGTATCCATGCACTGCTGCGTTCCCACTTCCTTCTCAATTAAACTCTTTTAATTGCCATATTCAATGACCTTTTCTCAGTCCTTATCTTTCTTGACCTCTCTCCACAATTTGAAAGTATTAACCTTTCCAGACCAGGGATTTTTTTTATGTTGTGTACCCCTTCTTAGATTATTTTTTAACTAATTGAGGAAATGCTAAATTACAATTAAATGTTAGTGAAAATAAAAATATAATTTTTTTGTTCCCCATCCAAGTTCATGGATCCCCTGAAATCTCTCCTCAGGTTAAGAGTGTCCACCTTGAGTTTTCCTGACACTGCTCTCTCCTGGTTCTTTTCTTACCTTTCTGGACACTTATGAGTCTCCTCTGCTACATGAACATGACCCTTATGTCTGGATGTACACTACCCCAGAGCTCTGTCCTGGGCCCTTTGCTTACTCTACACTATCTCGATGAGCTCATCAACGACCATCTCTGCGAAAATGTCTCTTAGATCTACATAATCTACCTGTCTCTCTATTAAACTCCAGTCCCATGTGTTCCATAGGCATCTTGAACTTAACAATTCCACAAGAAAATGAATTTTCAAACCCGAATGTTGTTCCTTCTGTTTCTGTTGAGGACACCACTATCTTTCCCAGCACACAGGTTCCCAAATTTGGAGTCATCCTCGATTCTTCACTCTCCCTCATCTCTTCTATCCAATCAGTTGTCAAATCTTATTGATTCTGCCTCCATCATATATACCCAGCTCTCTTTTATACCCACTGTCATAATAGATCTCATGATCCCTTGCCTGACTGCAATAGCTTCCCAATTACGAATGGTATCATGCCTCCTCTCCTCTCTAATTTATCCTCTTGCCAAATGGATATTCCCTAATGGGTTCCCCCCCACCACCACCACACACTCCAGTGCTTTCCTCTTGCCTCTGGGATAAAATACAAATTCCTCTGTTTGGCATTTAAATACCTTCACAATCTGGTTCCAGGCTCCTTTTCCTGGCATATTTCACCTTGCTTTCCTTCAGGCACTTTGCAGTCCAGTTAAACTGACCTATTTGTTGTTCTTTTGGATTAGATACTTCATTTCCATTTCTGGGACTTTGCACTGGTTGTCTGTCATACCTATAATGTCCTCTCTTCTCACATTCAGCCTCTCAGAATCCTTAACCCTCTTCAAAGCTCAGCCTAAGTGGCTTCTTGATCACTTCAGTTGCTGTTCACCTCCCTTCTCCCATTATTTTTGTATCTACTTTATATTTTTTCCCCTATTTATTTTGATGTGTACATGTTCCTCCCTTCCTCCAATAAAATGTAAGCTCCTTCAAGGCAAGGGTTGTTTCATTTTGATATTTGTGCCTGGCACAGAGTATGCACTCAATAAATTCTTGTTGACTGAATGAATCTTGGTTCTGAGTTCTGAAAGGGGTTAGTTTGATGGTTAGAGGGAGATTCCTTGCATCCCTAGTAGTAGCTGAGGTTTGTGAAAGGTGTGGGCTAGGGAGGGATTCAGCATAAAAGACCAGGATGAGGTTGAGGGCCCCAGATTATAGAACTTGAAGGTTCCAAGAGGAGCCATACCCTCTAATGAGACAAGTTGCCGGGGGGGGGGGGGGGGGGGGGGGGGGGGTGTTTTATGCTGAATCCCTCCCTAGCCCACACCTTTCACAAACCTCAGC